TTCAACTACTAACAGAACGATAAAATTTATGAGGTTAATTTAATATAAGAAAATTTGAAACTGCTCTTTTATATTCCTCTATGTTTGAGATTTGTTTAAACCAATAAAAATTCTTAATGGATTAACACTAAAACTCAAAGAAAATTATCAAATCAACCCAATGTAGAACCTGAAAAAAAAAAAAAGCACTATTAACATTTCCTGCCAAAAAGCACTACCCTACCTGTAACAAGTCGCTGCAATACTTATATATGGATTATCATCTCATTTTTTTAGTGGTATGTTTGGTGGAAAATTGATGTTTAAAACAATATTTTTTTGTCTGTTTCTTTGTAATAGTGTTTTTTCTGAACCTAATACTCCATCCACATTACTTCTCGTTGTTCAGAAACAGGTCAACTGGTATTGCCATATCAATTAATATTAGATAGCCATAGCTTCGCAGAGCATAAAAATGGTGGTTAAGGAGTTTGAGATTGGCGAGGTTGAGACACTGTTGCAGGTGGTGGGTTATCGACAGAACCACCCTTTCTCAGCCCTCGGAAGACAATCCTCAATCTATTATCTCTCTTAACGAGTTCCAGCACACTCGGTTTGAGGTTGGGAAGAACTTCGAGTCCATGAATATGAGTTTCTCACCAGCATCTAGAATGCTGAAGAAAACCAAACTATTAATTCCAACAATAACAATAATCAGAACAACGATGCAATTAACCAAGTTAGCAACCATGTTCATTTATTTTTGTATAAAACAAGTCTGATTGAAGAGAGAGAAAGTGAAGAATGAAAGCAATTGAGACTTGAGAGAAGGAGAGAATGGATCGATTAAAATTTTTTGAGAAAGCAAAGGAGAAAAAAAGGTCATGAATGGAAGAAAGAAAACGATGATATGGAATAAATTAAATGCTGACATGGAAGTTAAATGACTCAAAGTATCTTTCATTTGGAATAAGTTTAAAAGTATCCTATTTAGGTAATTAAGATTGGAGATTATCTTAGCTTAGGAAAAAGCTCGTGTAACATGTTCATTCTAACCATAACCGTGAATGATCTTAGGTCTTCGCTTAACCGCACAATCATATCTACTTATATGGGCCTTATGCTCAACTTGCCTCTTGACTTGGTGCTAATCTTTGCTTTAATTTGTATGTGTTCTAAAGCAAAACCATGCATTTTTACTACAATGTTTTTTATTACAATATTCTAATTATTTAATTATATAAAAAATTACATAGGATTCATCACTTATAAATATAAATTTTATATAAAATTTATATGCATTTGCTACAATTTTAAATTATAATTAATTAATTATAAAATAATAATAGTAGATAATGTACTTCCAATTACAAACATAAACATGTTAATTATAAATACAAATTAAACAATTGACCAATCTAGCATCTTATAACAATTTACTAAAATGAATATTACTAGGTCACCGCATGCCTGACACGTCGGAGGAAATTCTTTTGATTTATTAAAGATATTGTTGACTTTTCATCTAACGAAATTAGGGATTGATGGAGAGAGTTTTTTTTTTATAGTAGGACGTTTTTAGATTTTTTTTCAAATTAAGAATACTTTTAATCCTTTTTTCATAAACAAGGTATAAATCCTACGTCACTGCCACATCATTAACTAATTATCTATGTGGCAAATGTTTAAAAAAAAAAAAAAAACAAGTCTTATTGTATATGTAGACCCAATTTTTTGAGATCCTTCTGACCGATTACTCCACTCTACAAATCATACTCCCTTCACCTTTTCTTTATAAACATCCACACCTTCTGCTCCTAACCCACCAAATTTTCACCATATATATAAATATTTTTGAGGTGATTGATTTCATTATATGATTTGAATTTGTTAAATTGTTGATCCCAAGCTTTCAAGTTTATAGCTTTAGCCTGATGCAAATTTGAAAAGATGATTCTGGTGGCAATTGTAGCGGAGCTAATAGAGGAGTACACAGCGTTGCTGGCTAAAGTAATAAACTTCTGGAAGTAATAAGCAAGTAACAAAAGCCTAAAACCAAATAATACCCAAAGTAAAACCAATCACTATGTCTGCTTAGAACTAACTTTATAGCCCAACAGTAGTTGCAAAAGAAGTACCACATTCAATAAACTGTAACAACCCTATTTCAGTTCTAGAAGAAGATTGGGGATAGTACTCCATCCTGCCGACAGAATTGGGGATCTGTGTGAAGGGTTGTACGAAACGGAAGATTGTTGATTATTTTATAAGAAAAAGGATAAAAAGCTAGAGACTTTTGGATGTTGAATAAATATGGGAAACTCAAAAGTCAAGAAATGGGGAAGAGTGGTCCATTGTTAAGATCCCAAATTCAAAAGAAAAGTGCGTTTTTTTTTCCAGGAGGGAGAGAGAAGGAATTAAGGAGAAATCTAAGAAAACAGATGAAGTAAAATGCTTAGGTGGCTTTCTTGGTGCTTACATGTAAAAAATACTCCATTTGAGGAAATAAGAATTAACGAATCCCTATCAAAGAATTAAAATTTTTTCATACCTTAGATTGGGAAAAAACCTCTATGTTACTCGGGAAAGCATGATCACAACTCAGAAGTGAAAATGAAGTTAATTATTTAAATGTGATTGTATTGCCTAAGTAGAAATGAGAAGTAAAAGAAAATTTTTTACATGAAAAATCCAAGAATCTATATATATTTTTAATTCAAGTAGTATCTAACAAGATAATTAAGTAAATATGCGAACCCTTTTAAAGTACAATAATGGATTCAAAAGTTAACTTCATTAATTCTCTCTGATAACACATTTTGATGTTTGATTTATATCTAAATTTGATTGTAATAACTGAATTAATTTGACCACTATCATAAATAGAGTTCATTTCATTCAATTAGTTCATACAATCATTTTTAAATGTCAACTTTTTCGATCCCTTCCCTCATTTTTAAGTTGTAGCCTTCTTTGTTAAAATATATATATATATATGTATATACCACTATCACAATTTTGAACATTACTGTTAATTTTTAATAAAAAGCCCTAATTGTGGTGAGTTTGCTTCCAATTGTAAAAGCATGTGGAAACCAACTTTAATTTACAGGTGAACGTGATTTTCATTGTACAAAAAATATAAATATATATGTTCTCATTAAAGTAAAATGGATTATATGTTACAATTTTAGTATCATGTCCATTTTTACATTTTATCTTCTCTTTATTATACTTTCACTATGGTAATGTCAAACACTTTATGATATCAAATAAAAGTTTTACTACAAAGGATTGTCTAGGCGTTGCCTAAATCTATAAATATCATTGTCATTCAAGTCAATACTATTTCTTTTATAAAATATATATTATATGATAACAAGTTAGATAAGGATAAAACTAATATTACAAACGGAAACAAAATGTGAGAATGAGGCTTAGTTTGGCATTATGGTAGGGTTTTGGAAAACCGTGTTAGAGAAATTATTTTTGAAAAATTGTAGTGTGGTAAATTATGGTAAAAAGTAACTATTGGCTAATAACTCAAGTTGGATAGAAAATTGTGAAGTAAGTTTGGCATTACATTTGCAGTCAAAAATCAGTTTTTAAAACCCAAATAGCCAAATGCAAGTCAATGTATTAGTATTAATTGATGGATATGGGTCTGACTCCTTATTGTGTATTTGATACCTATTTATTGCTACATTACTATCATCTAGAATAACTATTATAGCTAGGAGATAAATGTAATGACCTTATATTTTCAGCTTATCTTGCAAGCAAAAATAAAAAGGGAACCAAAAACTCCATTTCTAAGAAGTGAAGAAAAGGTTACATGGGGTTAGGCCAATTCTAATTCAACATTTTTAATTTTTTTTGGTATAAAGTAGATCCAACTGAAAATAAAAAAAAAAGTATTATAAGTATTAGAATTTGAATCTTAAATTTGTTAGATATGATTATCTCTTAAAAATAATTATACTTATTAACTCAGTTAAGCTCCAAGTTTTCAACTTCGTTAATTTAATGTAAATGAACATTATTAAAACTTAAGTTTTAATGACTCTCAAAACACGTGGAAACTAGGCCCATACATAAAGAAGGTTTTTCTTCCTGCCAAATCTTCGAGAAAAAGAAATACTGTGAAGAACAAGGAAAAATAATGAAATACTATTTTTCCAAGCACTTAATCTGATTTTCTTTGTTTTCTTTTTTATATAAGGAGTACTGTTAGAACTTAAGGTATCTATCCAAATTATACCATATTCTTACTAATTGATCAACTAAGCTCAAATGGTCAAATTTTCTTCATTTTCATTTTAGCTTGTAATGATCATCTAGGGTTAGTGTCCAATATTCATAAGAGGTCCTTTTTTTGTTCTCTTCTTCAATTGAACATGTATTTTGGATTCTTCATAGTTAACTTAAGAATGAATCATCTTTCACTCAACATTCTAAAATCTAAATTTCCTTTAATCTAATTTAAATTTCAGCAATGAGGGCATACATACCGCAATGTCACATGTATTTATGCATATATATATTTATATATATAACCAAAGCATGTTTGCAAATTGCATACTGATCCACAAGAAACCGAACAGCAAAAAATATCCTATCTGTCTATCCGTTTATCTATATATATATATATATATATATATTATGCAGAAAGAGAAGGGAAAGAACAATGATTTGAGTAACTTTCTCACGTCACAGTTTAAACTTTCCGGCCAATTTAGACTCTTCAAAACCTTATTATATATTTTATATATAGCTCTGCATAACTCAAGCTAACCGTTATGATTATTCCACACATCAGTCAACAAGATCCTAACAAACCCTTTTTCCCCCCACACTCCCATCACCCCCTAAAACTAAACTTTATTATAAATAATCATAATACATACATACATACGTACATACATACATACATACATAGATATATATATACACCCTCTTCAGTCTTCAGTAATATTATCATTAGTACAGCAATTACATGTTGATTAATTTAGGGATAGCTATTAATCACTAATTACCTCATGATTAAAGCACAAGGGGTTTCCCCCGATGGCAGCAAAAGTGAATCCAGGGCCTGTCTGTGTCTCCAGGGAGGTTGAGGAGGTGGAAGCGAGAGGTGTAACTTGCCAGTCTGCATGGCACGGTGGCTGCTGGTTATTGGATTGTTGCAGCACCCGTATCTGCCTCTTCAAGAACTTGACATAGCGGATAGCTTCATCTAGCATTGAAGCTGTGTCCATTTTCGTGCCTCCTGGGACAAGTCTTTGTAGAATTCTGATCTTTTCGCTTATCCTCTCCCGTCTGTGACGCGCTGCCACGCTCTGGGGATCGTCACTGATTCTCACGTTGCGTCTCTTGGGCTTTTGTATAGTGGATGGATCTATGTCTACGGGCTGCATCGCAGCAATCTTGTACAACATTTCTTTCATGGCGCTTAACTCCTCTTCTGGCTCATCTTCCTCTTCAACAAGGCCGCCTATTTGGTCATGATGAGTACTGTAAACAGTTGTTGCACTAGGTGTTTGGGTGGATGTAGTTGAGCATGGCGCTTGAAGAGGGCAGCTTGGCCAAATTGGATGAAAAGGAACTTGGGCATGGACGATATGATCTTCCATGGACATTTCAAGATTCCAAGTGTGAATTGGGAGCTTTAATGTTTGATTGATATCCATCAAAGTGAGTAAAAGAGCTTTTGGGTTTTCTCTGTTCCAAAGAGAGAGAGAGAACCCAATGGCTTGTTGATGTGGTTTTTGCACTTATTATAATAACACATTAAAGGTTACCCTTCTTTCTCTAAAAGACCCAATGCTAAAGGGTTTGGTTATTGGCAAAAGAAAACCCTCCTTAAGTGTTTCATGTAGCTTTAAGAAGCTTTGATGATCAATAAATCATAACTCAAGGGTTAGAAACAGAGAAAACATGGCATGGGGTATATAAATAATAGATGATGCAACATATAATATATTGATCAGAAAAATATTTGACAAAAGAGATTAGGTAGATTTCCTATAGTTGGATCAAATGATCATCAAGGGGTTGAGATTTTTCTTTTTCTTTTCTCACAAGCCACAGTACTACCCTAGCTAGAGTCAAGAATTGAATGGCACCTACCTAGTGAAACTAGCTTTGCCATATTTCTATAGTGAGTCCATTCAATTTTTTTAAAATTTTTTATGGCAGACCAATCCATATATATCAAGCACTGAAATTTTAGGGGTTTTGCTGATCAGGGTTTGGTTTTCGATGTTTTTTACGGTTTTGTTTGGCTTTTTATAAGGTTGGTACCTTTACCATGCGTTGTACAAATAAGCTCGTGTAATTCATTTATAGCTTTTACCTTACGATTTTATACATTCTCACAAGTTCTTTGCCCTAACCCTACTCGTCTACCCTTTTTGACTCTTTTGCTACTGCTAATGTGTGTTAAAAAGCAAGCAATTATCAATTCTCAATGATTAAGGGACCATATTCTTATTCATAATTATTCATAATTATGGTTTCACTTCCCGTAATGATGCATTTCTTTTTCTTTTTTGGTGCATTTCTAGGATCAGTCTCTAGTTTTACTATTAAATAAAAATTGAGTTTAGATCATATAAATATAAATAAATAGCACCCATGATTTTTAAATTTTAAGTCATATATCATTTTGATTTTTATTCTTTAAAATTTTACTTGTTGATCTCTAACCTTTAATATTGTATCGAAATAGTTTTTTTGTAAAAAATTTCATTAAATTTAACCTTAAACATTAATTGATGCTACATGTTAATACAGATAGCCGACAGGTGGTGCTGAAATTATTTGCATTTTTGTATTTATGATTAATTTTTAAAATCTATATTATAAAAAAATTTTTAAAAAAACTTTAAAATTAGAAAATTTTAAATTTTATTTACTTTACATTATAATATATTATCTACTTTTTTAAAATTACATTTTTATTTATTTTATTTATTTTAAATTATAAAACTAGATAAAATATAAATTAAATTAAATGAAAAAAATTAAAAAACAAAAGCTTATTTAAAATATAAAATTTATTTATTTTAATTTATAAAATTTTATAAAATATATTAAAGCTATATTATATTAAAAACTAAAAAAAATTTAAAAATAAAATATTGAGATTTATTTACTTCAAATTACATAACTATATAAATTATACAAATATATTATATCTCAAAAATTAAAAAAAAAAAACAAAAACTTCTTAAAATTAGAAAGTTCTAGAATTTATTTATTTTAAACTATAAATTTGATAAAATATATTATATATAAAAATTAAAAAAATTTTATTCAAAAAGAAAATTTTTAAATGTGTTTATTTTATAGAAATATTAAAATATATATAATGTATTTTGAAAAATAAAAAAATTTCTTAAAAATAGAAAATTTAAAACTTATCTATTTGAATTATAATATTTGTAAATATATTAGAAATTTATATTATGTTTAAAAATTAAAAAAGAAAAATTATTTTTTGTTAAACTTTTTATTTTGAAAATAATAAACAAAAAAATATATTTTTAAAAGTACTTATTTTTTATTTTCTTATTTTAATTTTTAATTTCTTATCCTTTCAGCTGTCACATCAATCATGTTAATCATATCAAACATTTAATAATGGTGAAGTTAATAATTAAACTAATGGAATGACTAATTCATCCAAAGACCAATAAATTAAATTTTGAGGCTTAGAGATCAAAATGATATGTATTTAAAAATTTGAAACTATGGATACTATTTATTCATTAAATATAATAACAATATATTAATGCATCCTTCAAGAAAATCAGTAATAATCTTATACTTAAGCATGATTTTAAGACGATGCTTATTAATTTTTTCATTGGATTTTAAAGCTATATGTAACTGTTTAGAAAAGCATGAAGTAATGAAAAGAAATCTAGCTGTTCTTTTGCTGTCAATTTGGCATAAATTAATGCTGCTTATATCATTCACATAAGTGACACATGCATTTTAATCAAAATTTCCATTTATTGCCTATGTTCTGCAACTCTTCTTACTGTTATAATTATTCAAAAAAATCAAGAAACAATAAACTCAATACGTCATTATCATTGACAACTGATATTCCGTATCAAGATAATAATTTTTTGTGATATTTTTTGTTTAATATTGTAATTCAAGCTACCAAATCTTTGGAAAAGAAAAGAAGATGATTTTACATTATTGGAAGTGCTTGATTTCCTAGATTGAAGTTCATTTAACATTGTACAAAGCAAATTATAAAAGCCGACCTACTTGTTATGTTTACTTTTAGTTTGTACCTTATTTTCCATGTTTCATACACATAAAGGTATATTTATGTGTTTGAAACTCTGAGGGTACTGAATTTCTTTTTTTTTTTTTCATGCACCATGAGGTTTTGCAATAAAATTATACCTTTTGGTTGCCTAGAAAGAAAATTTATGTAGCTTCCTTATGAGGGAAAGAAGGCAATTATAAAAGTACTAGGTTGCTTTAGAAATAATTTAGACAACCCAATTAAATAATCAGTATAAGAATCCGTAAACAGTATAATTAATGAAAATTTAACTAGAACATGGGCTCGCTTTGGACTGTTCAAGCATAGGTGACAATGAAGGGTTTTCTGGCTGTTCTTATGATCATAACATAGAACAAAAGGGTGAGAGGGGGGGGGGGGGGGCTGGTCATTGATAATAATGGATTTTGGCTTGAAAACCACAGAATTTGAACAGGGTCTCAAACTGTGTTTCTGATTCATCTGGTACAGTCAATCATGAAACAAACGTTGGGTGCAGAACGTAAAGCTTTTTCTTACTTAATTAGTCAACAGTCTCCCGCATCACCGTACCCTCCAACCTATATCAAATGGCGGGACAAATTGCTTAGATCATCTTTCTTTCTTTCCTTTTTTTTTTTTTAAACAAATGCAACGCAGCACATACACTTTGCTCACTTTCATTGAATTCTATGTTATAATTCTATTTGCTCTACTCCACTTGCGCATGCACAGAGCAATCATTCTTTTGAGTTTCACTTACCTTTTCCTAAACATCCCATGATGTAACCTAGTATAAAACTGAGGCATTAGTTTTGCATCTATCAAAAAAGATAAAAAGAACCAAACTCTTCAAGCATTACATTATCCTAATTATTTATGAATTTATATTTGATATATTATCAAAATATAAATATTATATCTATTAATGAATCATACAATAATATTTCATAAAAAATTAATTTTAAAATATTAAAAAACGAATATATTTACTTTTAAAAATATATTTAAATTAAATTTTTATATAATATTATTGTGCGATTCACTAACAATTTATATATCATCTGTACACAAATGGTATATCATATATAAAACTATATATATATATATATAGTTTATAAAAAAAAGGGCTGCTATATATTTTAGTTATTTTATCCAAATTTCAAAGAATAATAACAAATAAAGATGTTCCCATAATTTTTTCTCAGCCAAATAAATATTTTATTCATAAAAAATAGAATATAACAACATTTGTATTTCAGAAAGGACACTACTCAATGAAAGTACGAACAAAGTACCTCATAACAAAATAAAACATCCAAGACAAGCATCACGACCTCTAACAGCCCTGCTGTAGAGTCCATTGCATCCAATTTTCTGCTGAAAAGACTGAATCAAACACCCAACTAGCCAAAGAGATTGCCAAGCCATTTGCAACATTGAACCATTTCCGTATACCAACCATAGAAAAAAGGAAATCCATCACATCGAATATAAACCACAAATTCCGAAAGGTCTACCCTCAACTTTCTTCATCCATTTAGCAGCAAATATGAAGTCCAAATCTACAATTAATCAATAATTTACTTCCCCAACAAAGATTAATCTCCAATAGAAACAAAATGTAATCCTCAATACTAACTTCAGCCAATCAAACTTAATTTCAAATACTTACAATAATCCAATCATAACGAAAACATAAACGGAATCTCTCCTACCACTCAGATGATTATCACTTTCAATTCCCAAAACAGCACTTACAAGCTCCGTCAATCCAACTTATGATCATATTAGGAAATAGTTAGTAGTTAAACGGAACGAACTAATTGAGCCCAGCTAGTCATATTTAAAAAAAAAAAAAAACACATTTTTCATCCAATAAAGGCAAACACCTAAATATGATTCAAGAGAAATTAACGACACATTCTATACTAGTCGTTAAACAAAGTAAGGAAAAAGAAACGAGATGATATGCTACATAGACGTAAACCTTCATGAAGGGAATACACACATAGTATAGTCAAGTACCCGTGGAGTTGCATCAAATTATAAAACGCATGCCATTGTTTCTTTTGTTGGACTGCCTTTTGTTCCCCTTTAGAAAGATTTCTCAATGGAAACTAACCGGGCGGGTAGTAGTCCCATGCTAAGTCCAACTAGATGGTAAGGAAATTAACAAAGGACAATTCGGGCAAAAACGGCCCTATAAAAAGAGGTGCTAGGTCGCCCTTCCGTATGACAAGAGGCTGACTTTATTGAACAGATGATAAATTGGGAAGAACATGTTACGAGAAGGATTGGGTGAGATCTCACACCCATTCATTCCCTAAGAAATAAAATTGAGAGGACAGGAGGAAGGGGTTATAATGGTTATGAAATTAATTTAAGACCCCCCCCCCCCCCTCCCTTTCCCAATCCCCACGGCTCTCCTCTCCTCTCCTCAAAGTCCGGACCACACAGTGACATGCTTAGGCCTTTACAGTTGGAGAAATTTTCATATGTCAAATGAGGGGAAAAGAGAGCAAAAAGTGAACATCTCTCTTGTTGGGTCCTAAAATAGCATCTGAAAAGCTCATTTTCAAGGTCATTTCTCTTAAGCATCGGGAAGAAGCATGGCTTGTTTTCTTTTTTGCTTGCTTTTCATTTTTGTCAACAAAAGCATTCACCTTCGCCAACCTTTAATATAATATAGGGGACTTCAATTCAACACAAAATTATTCATCGCAAACATACGCCAGCATATTTAACACAGCAACTTCACATTACATTATCCATTTCTGAAAACAAAGTTTTCTATAATTACTAACCATTTCAGTTAGATAGAGACGTCTAGACATATTTTATAACTGAGTCAAGATATCTTTATATTTTATTTGAGTCTAAATTATTTTTAATGATCTTAAGTGTACACATTTTATATCAATATGATGCATTCAAAATTTTACTCTTTGGATATTCTTTACAAAATCGATTCATGATCGATAAATAAGAAAACTCCTCTTTTTACCAACGTTGGTATCTAGTCGTATTTTCATCCCAAAAAATGAATTGCAACCCTAGTGAATGTAACCATATATATGTGGAAGTGAAACTAAATCATTGCCCCTTTTCTTTCTCCTATCCAATGAAATAAATTCAAATTCAGCATTTTGTCTTGGGCTGCAATTACTGCTCCTAATTTCTAGTTTGATCCAAGATCTAATTGCCTAACTTAACTCAAAACCTGCAAAAGCCATAGTCATTTAGGGTAACTGTAGTTATTTTCGGTAAGACGACTCTAATTTGATGTGCTTAAGTCGCTATATATATTGTCAAGGGAAAATGTCTACCAAATGACCTAACCCTGTCCAGATATGAAGGTTGGGTGCTCTATAATTTAATTAAGGACATTGGACATTGGCTAATTAATTCCAAAAAAAAATTATTAGTACTATGTTGTACTTGTGATAAAAACCAAAATAATTCTAGTAATAAAAAAGACCAAGAAATTAACAAATTAAAGCACATTCAGCCACCTATACCTCAAATCAAGATGAAGTTCATTAATTTGATGCAAATTTAAAAGAGAAAATTGTCAAATTTACCACTACTAAATTGAAAATTTCAAATTTATCACTTTACTTTTGTGCGATTCACCACTCTACTATTTTTTTTTGGTCCAATTCTTGTAATTTATATGGATGAAAATAGAATATTTCATTCCGGCAACGAAGGAAGAGAAAACAATGGGGGTGATATCAAGGATGAAGAGTTTCAGGTAATTATAGTTGGATGAGAGTGTGGGGTAGGATTAGGCAGATGTTGGTAGGTAAGGAAGCAAAATTGGTAGGGGAGGGAGGTGGAGAGGAACGGAATGTATTTTTTTGGCCTTTGCAGGTCTTGCGGAAGGGAGAGAAAAACATGAAAAGAAATGTAGTTAACGGTGAGACTCTGAGAATTGTGGGGACTTTCTAACAGTTTTTAGGAAAATTTAATTTGATATACCAAAGAAAACTTGGAGGAGATTTTGAATTTTTGTTATCAGCAATTTTTTTATTGGTAAGTTGTGACGTGAGCTCATTATTTTTAAAAATTAATTAGGGTTTATGTCAAGATGTTTTACAAAAGAGGTGATCCACCTTTTAAGCCTTTTATCGAAGGATTTTCGAATAAAAAAATATATTTGCATATAACATTTATTAACTTGAAGAAAACACACGATAAAATTTTTCAAAAAATGTTTTGATGAACCTTAACGAAGAAAGAAATCGTTTTAAAGTGCATCAACATAATTCCTTATTACTTTAAAATTACATCAAGCTCAACACCAAATTATTTCCTTTTTGCATTAATTTTGGATGTGCTCACTTAACGTATCCAAGATAAAATACATAATATATGTTATTTATCGATAATATAATTTTAATTGTTGAAACTTGTGATGCCCTTAATACAAAATTAAAATTATGAAAAAGTATATTAGAGTTTCGAAATTTTAAATTAAATAAATTTAAAATTGAATATATAAAATACAAATTTAATAGTGACAAGAAAGTGGATAATAGTGTGATTAAATTGAATGATGAGGGAATACCAAAGAATAACCAATTTTTATATTTAAGTTCAATTATTCAAAATGATATTAAGATAGAAACAGATGTAAAAGATAAGATTCAAACAGAATAAACGAAGTGACAAAATGCATTGGATATGTTATGTAATCAAAACATACCTTTAAAGTTAAAATTAAAATTATATAAAACAACTATAAAAACTACATTATTATATGAAACTGAGTGTTGGACTATTAAAAAACAACATAAGATGAAAATGAACATAAAAGAGATAACGATGCTTAAATGGATGTATTGTAAAACTAAAAGAGACAAAAAGATTCAAGAAAAATTATAAATGAAAAGATTCCAGAAAAATTATAAATAATCCAAATTGAAGAGAAGATAAGAGATTGCGATGATTTGAACATGTGAAATGTAGATCTAATTGTGCATTCATTAAGAGAATTGAATCTTTAAATCTAGAATAAATCAAAACATCTAGAAAAAGATCACAAAAAATATTAATGCAAGTAATAAAAAAATGGCTAAGGAATTAGACGAAAAAGTAATTGTCGATAGAACTAAGTGGCGGAAGAAGATTCAAATTACAACCTAACTTGATTCTCTTATTTGAATTTTTATACAGCCAACCCCAAAGTATAGGATATACTTCTTTTCGCTATACTTCTTTGTACAAGTTGCGGCCGCCACAGCCCCTACAGGCAAAGAACATTGTTATCAGTCGCCAATCGAACCTTGTATGAGATCTTAGAAAATCCCATTTCTAAAAGGGCTGTTTTTTTTTTTTTTTTGGCAACATAAATGCCAACATCATGTAGAAAACATAATACTACAGGTACTGAAGCATAACTTCCTGGTAAAAAGTCGGTACCTTCCATTCCATTCGGCAGAGATATAGTTCACCAAGAGTCCTGTGCTAAAGAATTGATACACAAATGTAAATGGCAAGTTTCTGTAGCGTTTACACAGTGAATTTGTTTCACTGAAGGCAATTATCATTAGGTTCTTCATGCTCGGAAGCAATGGCAGGAAATCGCATGGCAAAGAATAGCCCGATCACATGATGCATGTGTTAATCATACCATGCAGTAATCTTAAATCTCAATAGGCAATATTTCTATGCTCTGCACTGACAAACATATAAATGCCAATTGCCATGAAGATTTTAGGCACATAAAACCCTAGATATATATCTAAACAGGGCGTTGAAAGAGTAAACAATCACTGTCAAACACTAGATTTAGAATCATCACAACTATTACAAAGTACCCACACTTTTGCAGAAGGAAGTGCCAACATCATATAAGTCAAACTTTTACTACAGAAACAACAAATATCTACATGGAAGTAGAAGACACTACTTAAACCTGCTTCCAAGGAACAAAACACAGGAACAGAAATTGAAAAGGTTGGCATTCCCAAAAGCTGCAGAAACTAGATAAAGAAAGGGGAAAAAAAAAACAAAATATATATCATAGTTTGATATATTAACTGTAAAAATTATAAGAATAGAAGACATTACAAATGACAATACCCTGTTCTTTTAGCTCTTCTGAATCTTTTCCACATATGCCTGCAACAGATCAAAAAATTGTAAGCAAACATGGATAAAATGAAACAGTTTACGTTGAAGAAATAATTAAATCATAGAAGGAATTGTCTATCAACGTCAACCATTGTCATGGCACACGACATCTTCCAATGAGTTGCAACTCATGTGAACATGGGCACATTAAGAGCCCCTAGTCATTAGCATATTATTGGGTGATAATAGAGAAGGTACAAATGATGGCACAAATGAAGGTCAGAAATAAAAGCTGAGCAAAAAGGAAAAGGAGGACACAAGAAAGGCCTTATTTTTTCTTTTCCCCTCCAAAATTCTAAAACCTTCAATTTGAAAGTAATCTGCACTCACCTGTACAAGTTTGCTAAGCTTTGATTTTGAAAATGACAGATATTGTTCAATTTTTTCAGGTGTTTGAGGAATATTAGTCCCTTGCATCGTAGCAGTCACTTTGTCAACGACTTTCTTCACAATGTTTTTGTAAGCCTCTTTGCCAATTTGACCTTCCTTCCAAGTTGGTTTGAGGAGATCCTTGACAAACTCAACGAGTGCAAATTTAAATGCACGAATTCCCTTACCATCCTTGATCTTCTTGCCCTCATCAGTCCTGTCATCTGCATCTATGTTCTCTGATGGACCATTCTTGTTCTCCTCTTCAGCTTTCTTGGTTTCCTCAACTACTTCATTTTCCTTTGTCACCTCAGAACTTGCAACAGGCTCTAGCTGATTTGGCTTACAGCTATCAAAATCAGGCTGTTTTTTGGAACCGTGGTCATTATGAAAATCACCACCATTTGTGCTACCCACAAAAGATGATGCTAATAACTTATTAGTCCACAGTTCGGGTTTGCCATCTGCAGCATTTTTCTGAGCAACAGGAGGTTCTGAAATTCCCAAAGGCTTAGTATTTGTGCCCTGCGTCTTAACAGGCTCAATGCTATCAGATATAGGGTCATATTGTTTGGGCAATTTAATGTTTTGATCTGGCTGTACAGTTGGCACAGAATCTGGCTCAACAGGTCCTCCAGAGTTCACAAAAGTCACCTGCATTGCATCATGGGCATCAAGAGCAACATGAGGTAGTGGAAGTTGCTGTCTCTTTCCAAACAACTGAGCTAGAGAGGCTGAAAGGTTGGTAAGTTGGGTGAGCTGTTCATTGCTTACCATGCTCTGAGTTGACTGAATTCCAGAACTACCATGTAATGTTTTTGTATCCCCAATATTCAGTTTGTTGCTTGGTTTCTCCTCCTGAAACAGCAGGCTGTCTTGCGTACCTTTCATATTTATTTCATTAGAAGGGATTACCACTTGACTTTGTACAATTGCATTTAAGTTTGCATAAGGTAAAGAACTTGAACTTGGCCCAGGCTGGTCAAAGCTTGGCATTGGCAGGATGTTGGTAGAAAAATTTAGATCAATGTGTGAAATTGAGGAATTTCTGCTAACAGCATTGCTGTCACATGGCAATGTAACAGAACTGCTCCCCCTCATCATGTGGTCCTGTTGAAAGTTAGATTTCTCAGTTAACATTGGCTGCAAAATCGCAACCCCATCAGGCACCTGACCTGAGGCCTCTACTGTTATATTCTCATGAGCTGGTAAAGATGAGTCTGCAGGAGTTGATTTTGAACTATGAGAATATTCTTTAACAGAAGAGTGGATCCTGTAATTCCAGTCAGGAGACATCTCCATATCACCAAGTGACTCTTCAGCACCTCTTGGTTCAGATACACCCACACTAACACTAGCACTTTCTATCGTCCTCAGAATTGCTTCATCCTTGTCAATATCAACTGTTTTATAATCCACGTTAGTCTCACTGTTCTTTCCACGTACATCATAGTCATGCTGCCACCTATCATTGATGGACCAATCAGAGAATCTTCGTTCAGAGGCACCCATTTTTCCATTAGTGTCCTTGCTCAACTTTGTAGCCCCTGAATAGGGACCTATATCACTCCATTTTAAAGCAGTCCAAGATTTGTCCACATCATTTGAAACATCAGCATCACTCCATTTTGGACCAGCTAAGGTTTTCTCCACATTGAATGAAACATCTGCATCTCTCAATTTTGCACCATCCCGAAACTTATCCACTCTTACGGAACTTTGACCCCATCCACCCTTATCACCACGTGACCTTCTTTCAGGACTTGCACAAGCCTGAACATGATGAGAAAACCTACAATATTTTCCATTACGACAATTTCCAGCAGCGAAGTATTTGCAGGGAGCATCATTGCTCCTTCGAGCTTCACGCTCACCATCTCGCTCTGGAGTTGTACCTCTGTTCCTCTTGTTATTTTCTCTTTCCCTGCTTACCTCATTTCTTGATACTCGACTGAAACCACTAGAAGCACCATCATGAGAAAACCTACATGACACCCCCCTGCGATAGTTACCTTTCAGATAATCAGTATAGCGATCAGTAGATCTTCCACTCTTAATCAGGTACTCTTTACCATCATTGGGAGTAAAATATTTTGAATCCGCGCCTCTTTTCTGTCTATTATCCCAACCATTCTCATGACTTTGAATATCTTGGTGAAGAAACTGACACTGACTGCCTCTCCTGCATCTCCGATCCATAAAATCTTTACATAATTGAGTTGACACTCCAGATCTGCTTCTGGTTCTCTCATGGAATCCCGATTGCTGCCTAATGCCACAAACTGGACTTCGGCTTCTGCTTCTACTAAAACTTCTACTCCAGCTCCTGCTCCCACTCCTGCTTCTGTGGGTAAAACTAAAGATTATGAGACAAATTAAAACTCAATGTTATTCAACAGGAAGAAGAGAGAGATATACAGAACAGAGAGATCTGGAGAAACACGATCCTTTATCCAGGCAAATAAGCATAAACCATAATAATACTTAGGGAGTCCCAAAACATTCTGTTAAACAAATTAAGCTGACATGCAACCACAGTGACAATATAGAATTCAAGTAAACCAACAGGGAAAATCACAAACTAATTGGGAAAAAATTAAATATATTTAGTGTAGAGAGGCATTTTCAACATATATGGAAATGCAAAAAAGAAGCAATAAAGTATGTGATTCTCAATTTCTTAGGAACATCGAAGAATTAGTACATAATATATAGGGCATGGCATTGATATGGAGTCAGGTTATACAAACACTACACAAACAACCAGGACACTTTCAAAAAAGAAGATAATAAAAATCAAAGATACATAGTAGACAATTGAACCTGTGATAGCTGCTCCAATCAGTTTTAGGAGAATGGCGGTGATTTTGTTGCCTCCAATCATCAAGACCAGGTGACATTTCCATTTTGTAAGTCTCATCCCCGTCCAATGGAGTCATAGTTTTCCAGTATTTGACACAGTCAACATTGATGTTATGATCCTTTTTGCCACCTCTGCTTCCAGGTAAAGATTCCCTTGAAGGCAGTTCATGCTTAGATTTCATAATGTCACTGGCTTTGACAACTGAACACTTGTTGCCATTCCTACCAACCTCAGGAGAGAAATATCCATGTTCCGATTCTCTATCATGAAATGACACACCTGCTTTCACGGGCCAAGCTGTGTCTCGTATATTTTCAAGAGAATATTGGCGTTCCTCTTTTGAATCCCATTTAGAACTGCGTTTTCTGCTTCCACTCATTTCACCAGTAGCACGTATTCTTATCAATGCAGTACAATCTGGAAGTATAGAAGTAAGACATCAATAAATTGCCACCCCCATTTGTCTCATACCTACCATTGATTTAATTCATGGCAGGATCTTAATATCTACTCTGCTATTTGATTTAATTCCCATAGGGCAAAAATTAATTCCACTAAACACATATCAAATTACCAAAAATAAAAAAGAGAACAAGGACTACATGAAGGCAATAAATATATCTCACATTCAGAAGTCAATGTGCTGATAATTGCAAGCACTAGTATATTCAGCTTTATTGCTGTTTGGTTTCTAAAAGACTAATTCGCCTGGGGAAACTGCAATATAAGATTCAAGGATAGAATAAGTCTAGTTCAGGCTCCAGGTAGGGGCCTTTGAATCTGAGCCCAGAGACCCAAACATGTCATCTATGTGAGAGTTATATGCGCAAAATATCTAATTATAGTAACTTCTAGTTATATTAAATACCAAGATCAGGAAATCAAGCTTGCAGTCAGGCAAGGGTGTGCTTTCACCAAAAAGCATCAGAAAAACATAGACTCCCCATATAACTATATTATTTGTAGAACCTTCTCTGTCTATGAGCATGCAAATGGTTGCATAAGCGTATATAAGAACCCTTCGCATATATTAATCAACTATCAAATTTGATATTCTATTCTTTTAGATCATGCAAGAAGGTTTTTAGTTGATCATGCCTAACTATTTCATTGTTCTTATGAAAAATAGTTTCACCAATTTGAAGTGCTACAAACAACAAATTAACTTAAATGACAAAGTGTGTTTTATGCATGAATAAACAATGGAACCTAATAGTCAAAACAGTATAATGTAAACTATACAAATAGTTACAAACTGGAATAAATTTAGGCACTGGTTTCTTATTTGGATGTAGACTTAAAATTATAATTGTATAAGAATTAGCAATTTTTACTCTACGCCTTTTTTCTGAAGTTTTATCTCTATTCAATCAATATTTGTACAGAATGTTCTATTGATAGAAGTTATGCATGGAAGGATTCAAGTTCATCTGATACATAACTATTCACTCAATATTACAAATTACAATTGTAAAATATAATATATATATATATATATATATATATACACTAAAAGCAATTTTATCAATCAAATTGTTATAAATACTAATTAACCAGAAAATTAGCATCCATGTTGTGCATAAATAATTCATTAGGAAAATATTTAAAAAAAAGTTAGAGAACAATGAAAGAATTTAAGTGACTTTTAGGCCAATGTAAATGTACCATCTTCCCTCTTTGAAACAGACAATACATAAAAGTAATTGGGCCGCAATCTTGGAGGAACAAGGTGATATTCACCCAATATTAATAAAACTTCACCAACAAATTAGTTTTCTCCGTTTTCCAAAATGTCTCCTTATGTGTATCATAAATGAAATTTGATAATTGAGAATAAAACAAGGAGACATTGAAGGAAAGATAGGGGTTTTCAAGGAAACCAAGTTCAAAGTTAAGACTCATGTAAGGCTCATGAACTCATGCATGGACCTCTTCTTGCTTGGATCTCTAGCTAAAACTGTGCTTTGCTAAAATGAAACGTTTAGAGCATATGTTAAAAAAGGTAAGAAGAAATGATGAAATTTTTTTAAAAAATATATATTTCTTGATTTGATTATCTCAAAACAATACATAAGACAGTTAACTGTCTGACCTTTTAATAAAGGCTAGCTTCATGTTGCAAATACAAACTACATAAAAGATATATCTTGAAGCAATGGTGAGTAGCATTAACAAAATAGAAAACACCTCCATGGAATTAGCACATTAAGATTTTCAACATTAGGGGTGTAAACGAACAAAATGTTCGATGAACAATTTGAACAGATTCGATTTCTATTTGTTTATGTTCATTTATTAAACTTAACAAATAATTACAAACAACATTTCAGGATTCATTATTAAACGAACAGATCACAACCAGGGCAAAGTTTGTTTATGTTCAATTCGTTTACACTAGTATAAACAAACAAAGCATTCAACGAACAGTTCATAAACAGGCTTAGTTTTTGTTCGTTTATTAAACTTAGCAAATGATCACGAACAAAATTTCAATATTCATTAATTAAACAAACAAATCACAAACATAACAAAATTCGCTCATGTTCGGTTCATTTACACCCCGATTCAACATAAGAGATTCAACAAATAGTGCCTACAACTTTTCAGTCCCTTGCCAGGGCTAACAAATAGAATTGCGATTATGCACCTTCCATCCTAAATCCGGTAATACAAAAGATTATACCGTGATGAACCATCTAGCGGGCATAGCATATCTTAGAGTAATTAGCATATTAGACTAAACCTTAAGTTCCGCGAATTTAAGACACATAGTAGCAAACATGATCAAGCTTTCCTTCAAATCCAATTGCATTTTTCATATAGCTTTCAAATCAAGGACACAGTGGTCCCCCACATCATTTTTGTATTTCATCAAAACGAGGCAAAAACATTTCCATCAAGCATATGTTAAAGAGAAGTGAAAGAATGTAATAGAATTCGATACAACCATGGCAAAATTGCTTGTAATATACTGTTTCGTAAAATATATAGACTACAGATTAGCACCTTGTTTTGCACAAACCAAGTGAAGGAGAAAACAAACAAAATGAAAAGAGATCACTCAAACTGAACTCCACCTCAATATATAATATATATATATATATATTTATATAAGCTTAAAACTTTCCAACTTATCCTCATGAAACTTGAAGAATCCAAGAGTCTAACATAAAATATCCCACCAAAAAGTGAAGAAAATACATTTCCCAGAAAATGTGATAGGTGAGGCAGTTTTATAAGTCTAAAGCCCAAAATATACAAATAATGATTGAAAGGTTGAAAGCTCCATATAGCACCATCATGAGTTAATAAAAATCCATGCAGTATGCCCAGGTACGAAGAGATAACTTCACGTTGCAGGAACAAAAGGATCTGGTAGCCTGTGGCCTATATCTCAGCATCATCAGATGCTTAATATCCTCAAATTTAGAAATTATCATTTTTGTATTAGTGGGCGTAAATCTAGTCTTATCAATCAAACAATTCACATAACCAGGCAAAACCAGATATCTACAAAAGCCTAAACTCTCATTGCTCTTAATAATAATACCAAGTCGCAAAGTCTTGAATCATCCAACTCATTCATATAGCAATTCATTCTCAGAAAGAAAAATATATATATCGTTAAAACCTGATGCACAGGTCAAATTTTAATTGCAACAGTAAAACAAGATACTTTTGTGTCCTATCTCCAATTCAGCACATATATCATCTGAAACTTCTTCAAAATGTCAGCAAAAGTTCCTTGCTATACACAAGTGGTCCACCATCCTATATAATTTCGCTGCCTTTTCCATCATGTTGAGAAGTACACTTAGATTATTTACTCATAAACATTTGTTCCAACCAACCAAACCCCATTGTTTAGCATTTTCATGCATGGAAAGAATGTGTCTTTCTTCCAAACCCATCTGTCACTCCATAATGATAATGTAATTTGAGCATCAGGATGATTCAGCAAACCAAACTCCAAAGATTAAGGATTCCTAATTCTTGAATTATGATCCAGATTTGGATATTGCTATGTCAAAATCTTTGGCACTCCACTTAACAAACTGCTATAAATGCATTAAATATGGGCTCATATCCAATGTGCCACTTGAAGAAGCAGTGAATGTCATTGCAAAAACAATTGCATCAGTTATTGAATGCACTTGGTTATTCCTCCAATCATTGACCTTGAGAAAAATACTGCAGCAAAATTATGGCTGATATTAGCACCCTGGTAATTGTACTCTTAGGAGATACATTTCTAAAGCATAAACAGGACTAATATCCTGATACCTAGTCTCATGTTGTCTGAAAAATGTTCCTGGGCATAGAGATTAAATCCTAATAACGACTCAGGCAAATGTACATAGCAAACCTCACTAGAAAACATTGTTGACCACCCAAATTGATAGGTACCTAAATTACTTTTTAAACAACATTAAAAAATAGTCCACATCCATCACAACTATATAAAATTTTAACTTCTAATTTCCACTGACAACAATAAAACATACTATTTTCACAACAAAAATTTCTGAAAAAGCAATAAGTTCAGCACAATTGGCAGTATCACTAGTCAGCTATAATGCATTGTAATCCTGGTATCCTGCTGATATTTCTAGTAGAAACATACTCTCTCTCCATAAAATTAAGTAACTAGCTATCTGAAAGAATACAATATCAGGTCATTTAAGCTAAGAATTTTAACAAACCAATTGCCTAACTGAAAAACTATGAAAAATCTAAGAGCTTTCAATCTGAGCAACATAACTCAAAGACAAGTTACTTGCATTAATTCTAATAATTGTCCCAAATATCCGCTCTGTCAAATGTTTCCTATTTGCACGTTGCTCATTTATAAAAACATACTAAAACTAGCAAATACTATTAAAAGAAAAGGAAAATTATTTAAACATACATTGCTCATCAACTCAATGGCTTGAAGAAACAAAAAGACATAAAAAACCCATGAAGGGTTTCCTACCTTCAAACAATTCAACAACTCAGTCAACTAAAAGCAACCTAAAAGTTCCTTATCAGAAAATGGAAAAAAAAAAAAAAAAGAAAAAGAAAAAGTCAAGGTCAAAAACAAAGAAAACCAAGAAATCAACAGAGACCCATTAATCAAGAGAGCTAATGGAACCCTAAAATACTCTAATTGATATGCCTTGTTAGGTTTAAATCCAAAGTTCTTTAAACAGAGACAAGTAACAAAACAGTAGAAACAATAAATATGCATAAAAAGATAGAGAGTGACAGAAAGAGGACTCACCATGAGAACCACAGAGAATGAAGCAAACGAGGAAAGAGAAGGTGAGTTAAGCCGTCAATTAATCGTCACTGAAGAGAAGAAGAGTGTAGAGTTCGGGAAATGAGACTTAACAAGCTCGACTGGACATGTATTACTAAAGAGGTTTGGGTTCATTGAGACGGGCTGTGAAGCATTTCGGCGAGAACAACGGCCATTAGACTAATTATTATAGATATTAATGTAAAAGTAAATTAAAATTTTATTTTAATACATATTTTAATGAAATTTAACATTTAAATATTCAAAAATTAATTACTTAAAGATACAAATAAACAAAAAAATAATATCAGTAAAAGTAAAATATTTTTTTATATTAACATAATTATTTTAATCTTAATAAAATTAAATTAAAAAAAATACATTTTTTACCCCAATATAAGTATTTTTTGGCAAAAAAACTATGTAAATATTAAAATAATTACTTAATTTAAGATATAATAATTAAGGTTTTTTAATTAAAGATCTTATCTTTAATTTGATTCAATATAAATAAAATATTTTTGGACCGATTTAAAGTAGGACTAACCTATTTAATTAAAAAAATACATTTTTTTGGCCAAATTTAAAAAAATACCTAACATTCATTTAAATGCAATTGTTCCATATCATTTTCAAATATATATAATTTTTATATAAAATTATGAATTGCAATAATTTTATATAAAATAATAATATTATTTATTATTATATCTAAACACATCTATTACTTTTTTTTTTAATTTTGTACAATGTGTATGAGATAATATTTCATTAATTATTTTTTTGATTAAAATGATAAGATAATATAAATAACCTGAGATTTTAGAACCAAAATTGATGCCAAACGCTAAATAGTAAACATGAAAGATTTCCCACGCAAAATTAGAAAGCCAAACTTTTCTTTTTTTAGATTTACCTTCGATAGCAGATTTGAACCATTAACGTTCATATTCATAGATAACCACTATCACCGCTCCCTCCTTTATTCTCTACCGCGCCCGCCGCTTTCCTAATTTCCTTTCCTTTCCATTTTCATCGCATCCCAATTCCCAAACTAAAATTTCTGTCTCCTCTTGCCTCTTTTCTGATTTTCTGCCCAATGGCAATCAAACAATGATCTTGCGGGAAAATATGATAATTTAATTAAAATATAATTTTATGATATAAAAAATATACAAATAATATGATTTAAATTTTTAATAAAAATATATTTCATATTTAACATATTAACACCAATTATAATACAATAAATTTGATATTTTATAATAATTAACACATTCAAATAATATATATTACTATACGTACCATAAATGGCCAAGCCATCCATTTTCACCACTTTCTTCCCACTGTCTAACCTTCTCATCCTCTCATTCTCTAATCAATATTAATAGGTAAGGTTTAGTGTGAGTATAGTATATACTATTTTTATATTCGGATTCTTATATTATATTTATTTTTATTTTTATATTTAATAAATATTTTAAATTTATTTTCATTTTTATTTTCATGAGTATCTAATATATATAAATAATTTATTTACATGTAGCTTTTAAAAAATAATTAAAATCAAAATTTAGTTTTTAGTTTTTTTAATTCTTTCTTACATTTTATATATATTTTATAAATATATATTAATATATATTTTAAATAAGAATATATTAATTTTAATTAATTTAAAATAATAATTTATATTATTTAATTAAAAATTTATTTATTAAATATATATAAATTATTAATATATAAAAAAATTTACATTATCCATTTCTATTCTCGTACCTACTAAAAAAATTTAAAATTATTTTCGTCTCATCCAAATTTAAATTTAGGGCCACTGAAAAAAAAAAAGTTCCTTGTTGAGAAGGGGTAAAATTTACAGCCATATTCCCTTCGGAAACATCCAAAACCAAACATACCCCGTGACGATGAATTTCACTCTTCTCTTCTCTTCTCTTCTCTTCTCGCGAATCCCCTTTTATTCGCTTTTCGTTCCAAAACTTTTCAAAGTCAGAAATTCCTAATCACCACCAATTGCTAACTTCCCCGATGATTTCCAAACTCCCTCATCACTTCAAACTATAAATATTATGCCTACAGCTTCACCACCTCCCTGGCACCAAAACCTTCCAAAAAAACCTCCTTGCAAATCCCTTTTTTTTTTCCTTGTATCAATCTCAATGTCCACTCTTCTTCTCCTCTCCCTTCTTTTCCTCATCCTTTTCTTCAACCTCTCTTCTTCTCAATCTCCTCAAAGTTCCCCTGTTTCCGCCTCAAACTCCTCTCAAATCCGCCTTGCATGCCAATCCACTCGCTTCCCACAACCCTGTGAAAGCTCTCTCACACAATCCTCCCCTCTCCCTCCTAACCCAACCTCCCTCCAAATCATCCAATCAGCCATTTCCGTCTCTTCCCAGAATCTCAAAACCGGACAATCCATGGTCAAATCCATTCTCGACTCCTCCAAAGGCAACCTTAATCGCACCAACGCCGCCACCATCTGCATCGACATTCTTTCTTACTCAGATTACCGCATAAACTCAGCCAATGACGCGTTAACACGTGGTAAGATCAAGGATGCACGTGCCTGGATGAGCGCGGCCCTTTGCTACCAATACGATTGTTGGAGCGCACTCAAGTATGTAAACGACACCAAATTGGTCGACCAAACGATGGCGTTTTTGGACTCTCTAACGCAACACAGCAGTAACGCGTTAAGCATGATTGTCGCTTACGATAATTACGGGGATGACGTATCCTCGTGGACCCCACCCAAAACGGAACGGGACGGGTTTTACGAGAAAGGGTCGGGTGGGACGGATTTGGGGTTTAACGGGGGTTTTCCGTCAGACATAAAGGTGGATGTAACGGTGTGTAAAGAGGGCAGTGGAGGGTGTTACAAGACGGTCCAAGACGCCGTTAACGCGGCACCGGATAATGCAGAGACGACACGTCGTTTTGTGATACACATAAAGGAAGGGGTGTACGAGGAAACGGTGAGGGTTCCGTTTGAGAAGAGAAATGTGGTGTTTCTGGGGGACGGGATGGGTAAAACGATTATTACGGGTTCTTTAAATGTGGGGAAGCCCGGAATGTCCACTTATGAATCTGCTACAGTCGGTGAGTACCCTCTCCTTTTATCCTACTTATTCAAAAATCATATAGTTATGTCTCTTTTTGAAAATTGTCAACTTTATTTCATTCGAAAAAGTTGCTTTTACATTCACCTTTACCTTTTAAACAAATCAATTAGCTGAATTAGCGGCTTAAATGAATTATTAAGTGAACTATTTGAATTGAATTAGAAAAAATTTTAGAGTTTAACTTGTAACAAATAGTTTACTATTAGACTCCAAAGGCTCCAGAACTTAATTGAAATTGAGTTTAATGGAGTTTTATTTTTAATATATTTAATATAAAAAATAAATGATAAAAATATAATATTTAATATAAATATTTATAATTTTACAAACTGAATTTATGGTTCAATAAAATTAAGAATTGAGTTTGAGCATAAAAAATGAAATTTCATGAAGTTTGAGTTTTCAAATCGATCCAAATTGGACTCGACTCAGTTTGATGATACCCTAGAGCGACGAACTCATGGTTTAGGTTCCTTAAGCAGACAGGATTAACTTCTCTTCGGAATTGTCAAAGTGTTTGTTGTTTATGTATCATTATTTAAATATCTAACTTCTCTTCGATGCACCGTGAAAAGTTTAATAAGCTTGTCGAGACAAGGTTTGCACTTTGTTTTCATAGAGTTTCATTCACATATAAACCAACAGGGCAAGATCTGTTCAATTCATGCATCTTGTTCTTCCTACTTAAGAACCAATCTCGAAGTTATTAAAAGTTAGCTGATAAATAAACAACTTGTTTTGATAAATACACAAGCAACTGGCACAGTCTTATATACATTCAATTTCGATTCCATTAATGCTTTAATGAGATTTTGCATCTTGATTTTCATGGTAAGTGCATTTTGAGCAACATTTACTGATTTAACTCGTCAGGTAAAATATTGAACGCTATCCAAAGCAAAGAAAGGTACCTTTTTTGTTAAGGCAGAAGATATCATTATTGGAAATATATATTGAAGAATGAAGATCAGTAAGCCGAGGAAATTGTATAATCAAATTTGCCATGTTATCTGTTTATCATATTCTGATGTGTTGCATTGGCCTGTTACAGGAGTTCTTGGGGATGGATTTATGGCCAGTGGCCTCACAATCAAGAACACAGCAGGCCCTGATGCCCACCAAGCAGTAGCCTTCAGATCAGATAGCGATCTTTCTGTTATTGAGAACTGTGAATTCTTAGGCAATCAAGATACTATCTATGTTCACTCACTCCGCCAATTCTACAAGAAGTGCCGTATTCAGGGGAATGTGGACTTCATCTTTGGAAATTCTGCTTCAGTATTCCAAGAATGCGAAATTTTGGTTGCTCCCCGGCTGTTAAATCCAGAAAAAGGTGAGAGCAATGCCATCACAGCTCATGGCAGAACAGATCCTGCTCAATCAACTGGTCTCATTTTCCAAAACTGCTTGCTCAATGGAACTGATGAATACATGAGATACTACTATAGCAATCCTAAAGTGCACAAGAATTATTTGGGAAGGCCGTGGAAGGAATATTCAAGGACAGTTTTTATAAATTGTGTCATGGAAGCTTTTATTTCTCCAGACGGCTGGATGCCATGGAGTGGTGAATTTGCATTGAAAACACTTTTCTATGGCGAATCTGGGAATTCTGGACCAGGATCAAATGTGTCGAAGAGAGTTCCATGGAGTTCACAAATTCCATTGGAGCATGTTTATACTTATTCTGTCCAGAATTTCATTCAAGGAGATCAGTGGATTCCAACATCATCTTGATTTTTTTCCCATATTACCAAGAACCTTCTTCTTTGTTAAATCAAAATGATAAGAACTCTAAGGTTGTAAAGCCAACTAAATTTTAGGCAATCATCTTTTGATCTGCTACGAAATCTTCGTTGGAGGAGGGGCCAGTTTTATAGGCAGTAGGGTTCGTAATATTGCAATATTACTATTATACCTTAGATTACACAAAGGAAAGATTATACTTTGCCTTTTTTTTTATAAAGAAAGTCTTAGTTTGAAATAAAAAAAGATTGTAGAGTTTGGAATAGAAAAAAGATTATAAACGTTAAAATTTAAGTTTTAAATTAATTAGATATTAATTTTTTTAAAGTAACCGTATAAATAAGTAAAACTTTGAACTTCAACTTTTATTTCTCTTTCATTTTGCAAATAAATATATTAGTTAGGATCGGTGATTCAAATAACCTGACTCTTTTATTTTTTTAGATTCGGTATAAATGGTAAAGACCTTTTTGAAGGGTGTCCTAATTCACCATCATTTGGTTGAAAATTTTGGAGGGGGGACATCATACGCATTGACGGTAAGCAAGAGAGGGGGGGGCAAACCCTATCAGACGAAGATTTTTCCATGGTGGTGGGAATAATGGGAGTATGACATATTGACATTGGCCAACTGTTTTTCTTGACTTTATATGCAAAGTTGTTAAGGTGACACGTTGCACTTTTCATAACCATTCGGCATTCACACGTTGACCACGGTTTTTCTTGAACATTTTTGTTTTCTGCGGGTCGACTAGAATAGATGTAAGCTCAATGCTGACAAAGCCATAAATTAAAATGAAGGGTGGGGAATTTCTTCTTCTATTTTGCTCACTTTTCGACGAGGTATGGGCTTAGGGAAATAAAGGTATGGGCCATAGGGAAAAAAAGGTTATCTCAGCTGCTGTTTCCAATGTAAATTAGTATTTGGTATAATATTAATGTAAATTTTTAATTTTATAAATAAGATTAAAAGATTAACTCATGTTTATTTTTATTTTTATTTTTATTTTTAATTAATTCTTTTAAAATACATTTTTATCATCATTTTAATTTTGATTGTGTAATTTAAAATTTTCACTAATAATGAATGAAATAATTTCTCTTAAATATGCATGAATATGATTCTCAACTTCACCTTAAAGGAATATGGATCCAATCAGAAGGAAGATTGGCCCCATCTCCCTTTTGCTTTCACATATGCAGAAAAGGCCAGTTTCCTGCTCCTTAATCCTCATTTATGCCTTGCGAATTACTTCGATAATGGCCTTCTTGTGCCCAACTGCCGTCTGCCCTTGGTCTTTGCCATCAGCCACATTATTTTTGGGGCTTAGCCAAAAACCATATGTAGACAATTAATTATATGCAGCAGTCTTTCTACTTATATTCAAATGCTACAAAGATTATTTGTAGACAATTACTCGCACAAGCACTATGATTAGATAGGTTCAAGTTCTGGATTAAAAGCACTTTGGCTGATTCATGTCTCCTTCCCTTAAGCCAAAGTGCTGTCCGCCCTTGTTCGTAGATAAGATTTGGTTAACCTCAACTAGTGCCTAGGATCACTGACTAAGACCCATCGTGCAACTCCACTACATGAATCTAATAAAAAAAAAAAAGGTCCTTGTGCCTTTTTAACTTCAACTCCACTAGTCTTCTTCTGTTTGTGTAGTTGGGCGATTGCTGACATGAGATTGAGGCGTGTCTGCTATCATCACATCTGATTTCCACATTCTCCCATTAACTACAAGTGGATCTTAAAGGAATGGCCATTAAAGAACTATATTGCAAGAAAACTCTCTTATTTTGTCTCTTTAGAGGCCCACGGCATTAGCTTAAAGCAAGCTATTGCATGATCAATTAAAAACTTAAGTTTGGGAACAGATGGAGAGTTTTTTTTTTTTTTTTTGGGGGGGGGGGGGGGAGTGTTTAGTTTAATATTTTACATAATTTTCAGGCTAAAACATTATGGGGATTGATAATCTTCCTCGTTAATGCACCAGGTTCTGAGGGGATTTGATTAAATGTGCAATGCAGCGCATGATATACGTAGTGAGATGTCATGTGTATCCATAGAAAATCAACCTTTCACAAGAAAAATAAACCAGCCACGTGAAAATAACTTGACCCAATCTTTTTCTGTTTCTATGAGTATGCCGATGCCCACAGCCATTTCCCATCTCTGAGGTTGCTTGTTCAATGCTTGAACACAAACTTGGCATGGACAATTGGACATGTCTGACAGTTTCCATCTCGTGCACACAAATATACAGTAGTTTATGGACTTTTTGAGGGCAAACCAGTTGGATTGACTGAACAGATCAAGTTTTAATAAAGGTAGTGAAAAATCAAAAGGTATTTTTCTCTAGTACAATTTTGGGGGAAAATTGAAGGTTATTTCATCTACTAAGCCCAGAACACATACTTGATCTAAAACAATTTTATGAATAAAAAGAAATTAAAGTGAACCCCCTTTTAGAACTATGTGTCATTTACATAAAGAAGGCATGAAAATGAAGAGAAAAACAGATTCAGAAATAACTCACAAGCCTGGGAGGGATGCCGTGTTGATTGAAGGAGGTGTTGGAACAAAAAATTCATCGTCAGTCCAGTTACTCTCACCCCAGTGCTTTAGCATACTCTTCCAGGAACATACATTGTCGATACACTTCTTCAAACGCTTGTCCTTAACTTTGATTCTCCAGTGACCATCGGTGAAATTTGCCTTCTCGGCTTCCCTTCTATCAAATTCCAATTGTGCCTTTTGCTTCGACCTTAACAGGCAGAACTGGTGTAATAGCTGAGGCATTGCATCATGGACTTTCCACCACCTTTCATGGGCAACATCACTAGCAAACTCTAGCATTATATCTACATTCCAATTGCAATCATAGTCCTTGTAGCACAACCATGGCTTTATACCTAGATAGTGAAGTACATAAAGGATTGGAGGTTCAGCACCGAAAAGCCGAGTTTTCTTTTGCTTAACCTCTTCTTCATCACCAATCCAAAAATGTTTCAGAAAGTTCATGTGTCGAGGAATCCGGTGCCACCATGTGAAAATCTCGTTTAAGTACCCCTGATCCCCACCATTATAAGACTCAAACACATCAATGTGTTCCATCAAAAGCTGGAAGGTGCAATTTGAAGGCTCAATGACCATCACACCGGAGTTAAAAAGTGTGCCATTATTTCCTGTTGCTGATATTTCAGGCATCCTGAATAAGAAATCAATGTTTCTAAGAATAAGCAGATCTGCATCAATGAATATGATCTTGTCATAATCTGTGAGCTGCCACAAGCGGAACTTGCTGTAGTTCCATTCGTTGTAAGCATCTTTTTCAGCTTTTGGATTCCTGATCCTTTGAATAGTCCTGACTTTCCATCCAGCTGCCTCAAGTCCACTCCTGTGATAACCACTGATTGTCTCATCGACAAGTATCACAAGGTCTCGGGTGGAGCCAGACAACCGGATGCTTTGAGCAGCGGCTATAGCCCCACATACATATACCTGAGCTGAATGGAGAATTGTAGCATATGCTTCTCGAGATGCATTCCCTGAATATATTGGCTCTGTATTTAACATATTGTATTAGTTTTTTATAAACCACTAGTTTGAGAAAGATGAAAATGAAAGAAAAAAAAAAACATTTTTTTCCTTTTTCAACTTGTCAGGTTATAAAATGAAGAAATGTTCAAAATTTACTTCAGTGATGGTGCTAACCCAAAAGCTATAATTTCCACAGAAGAAATGAAAATCAGAAGTTTGGGGGCATGCAAAAACTGGAATAAAACTGACCTTTGACCCCGATAGGAAGTGCAAGTTCACAAGATCCAGCTGGAAGCTGGAGCTTTTCTCTCAACACATGCAAGTCTGGTTTGTATAACCAGACATCCTTTTCACGTGCGACAAGTTCTTTGCAAGTGAACATGTTTGGGATAGGAAAGCACTTTGAAACAAAAAGCACATACACCGGATAAAAGCCTTTGGCGGAGGTAGCAAGACTAGCGGCTGCCAGCTGCAAATGCAGCCGAGCAACATCCCTTGACCAGTTCCCCTCATTTCTACAAGGAAGCTTGACAGCAATCAGATCAAGACGTTTTCCAGGGACTTCAATCTTTGGTAGAGGTGGGCAAACAGGAACGTCTTCTTCTTGCTCCTCATCAATCCATTCGGGATATAAGGAATCCCAGGTTACATTCATGTCAGCATAGTCCAGGTGCAGAACAATGTGGTTGGCATCAGGTATTAGGTGCTTCCACTGAGTGACTTCAGTAGTATTGAAGTTCAAAAGCCCAATTCCCTGGTAGTCATTCTGTTCGCCCATCTTCTCAATAACTTTCATAACATCATCCCAATCGGTATTTAAATCTGATAAATATCGAAAATCTTCGCCTGCCCATATCCACCTGTTCATAAAATTTGGCCTGCATGGAGTATACCTTTCATTAGTTATTGGTTCACTATTTCATTCCCTAAAAGGCCTTCATAATTCAAATTCTTGAATTATGACCTCAAACTTTTAGTCTTCAACAAATCAAGGCAAGTCATCATTATCAGTCAAGGATAACGGAAAGGATGTCAAGTTGAATTGATTACCACGATTTTCTTTCTAGTTTTGGAGGTTTGGCCAAGAATGAAAAGATCTCTTTAATACAGGACATAACTGAGATGGTTATTATCAATAGACATTAACCATCAAGAGTCATGACATTGACAAGTACACATGCATGAGGATATGCATCAATCATCAAATTAGAGGTAATGCATGCTTAAACAATTAAAGCCAAAAGTAAGCCATGCAAAATTAGTAGTGCATGAAGCCTGAATCAAAGTTTTGAGCCTCATTGTAATCACGAGTCAAACCAATACTTTTGATTGCATGTAGACAACCTCTATAACTTCCTTTAAAATAAAGGAAATTTGGAATCGGTTCAGACATTAGTAGCAAAATGCATGAAAGTAAGAGACATACCGAGAACCTGTGCGGGATAGATGGTCACTGTTATAGACCTCTGGAGAGTACAAAAGTGTTACAAAAGTGCCACACACAATAACAACCAAGACAAGTTTCAGCAGAGGATATTTGCAGCATGAGTTCCGCTCTTGGATTGGGATGTGGAAAGGTTTCTCAACACCTTTTACTTTATTTTTATTTATCCTCCTTTTGTATATGGCCTCACTGCAATGAGTGTAAATGAGGGAAAAAAAAAGAAGAGAAAAACAGAGAAATAAATGGTAAAGAATGAAAGCATTCTGAATCTTCTAA